AGAATCCTCGTGCGATTGGCAAGCGGGCCATTCAAAATGCATTGCTCGAGAATCGCTTGGCCGACGTATGCATCAACAGCGGATAGAGGGTCATCGAGAAGGACGATATCACATGTCGAATAGGCAGCACGGGCGAGGGAAACGCGGGCCTAGCACGACGATCAGTATTCACAGATGACAATCATGTTTAACGAAACTACCTTTTGACCACCTGTAAAAGATGTTGAGACGAATGAAAGTTTTAGAGGCTAAAAACACTCACCACTCAAATTGATACCCTTCTCACCAATCTCAGTGCGCTCGCCATTAGGAAGAACTTCGAGGTCACGTTCTAAGTTACATGTTCGAATGACTTCGCGGAACCTAACAGCATGGGTCAGAAGGTGGGCAAATGTTTCAATAATGTGACCGAAGCACCTTTCTTCGTCGTCTTCCTGCCCAAACAACACATTGTCCCGCAACGTCGCATTCCGTATCCACGCTACTTGGGGAACATAGGCGACATCGCCTCCAAACGTGATCTGTTCCGTGTTCTAAATAAGGAGACTGACAACGAATGGTTGTATCCTTACATCACCCCTAGTTTTTCTCATCTCTCCGATTAGACCTTGAAGAAGAGAGCTCTAAAAAGTTAAATGAGCTTAAACAGTGGGAAAACAAGCCATGAAATATCGTACCTTTCCCGAACCGACTCTGCCAACGATGGCAACGAACGAACCCTTCGGCACATGGAACTTCAGGCCCTTGAGTTCAAACGGCTTCTCCTCCTCCTTAGTCCCCTCCGATTCCAACGTACTTGGTGCCTCAGAGTCGGAATTAACGGTCGTCGGTAAAATTGGTCCATCTTTCTCAGACTTCTTCGATGTCGGCGTCCTCTTCTCCGTATTTTCCTTGCTCTTTTTCTTCCCTTTTCCACCAGCCTTATTCAACGCTGCATTTCCTTCCAATTTACCCGCAGTCTCCCACGTGAAATCAGCATCGACGGAAACCGCGGTCTTTTGTTCATAGTCGATGAGGTATGCGTCGTCTAGTTCTTCGGAGAGCAGGAACTTGGATATACGTCCGAGAGCGACTAGGGCATCGGCGAAGATTGATAGCACGAAAGGGAGGAAGGCCAGGGGCATGCGGATGATCTATGGAGGGTTGGGCATCAGAAGGAGGAGTAATTGCATTTCAAAACATACATTGAAGAGTTGAAGAGACGTGAATATAATAGCGACATTAAGGTCGTGACCACTGAGAGCATAGGTGATCTATAACAAATGGAAAGTGAATCGATCAGCCTCCTTCATCATACACAGACAAAAGAGTAGGACCAGACGTACAAAGGATAGAACAGATGCAAGCATCGGGATAAACGTGATCGAGGCGATCAAGAATGACCGTGCAACCCTAAGTTACAACGAATTTCAGATAACTGCGCCATCCACAGGTGAACCAAGCAATCATGTACGCAGTTTTCTTGATTGCCCTAATTTCACGCGCCCTCAGCTCCCCCAGACGGTCGATGTAGAAATTTTCCCAAGCATAAAATTTGATGAGGCGAATACCTTGTAAAACCTGGTAACAATAACGTCAATTATGCCTGGTTTATGGAAGGGAGAAGACACTTACCTCAGTCGTGAGCCGAATGCGCTTGTCCGTGAAGCCTACACCTTTCTTGCGCTGGTTGAACATTATCTTAACTAGTCCGAATTGAATCGGAAACGCGAGGAGAAAAACCTGTGTCAAATGAGCTTAATAGTGATTCCTTCTAAATATATTTGAAAATAAACTTACACCAAGACCGACAAGGGCTGAATAACCGAGCTATGTCACATAGCTTATTAGACTTCGTGGGTAGAGGGATATATTCTATGTAAGCAGGCGTACATTGCCAAGAAGGAGTCCGACTCCGACGATAATTTGAATAGGAGCAACCCAAAGACTGGGGATCATGGATCAAAGGAGAGCAATGGAACGAACTCAACGCGACTTACTTGTGTCCAAAGGTAGTGAAACGATCCAACCTAGTAGCGTCCGTGGATATCATTGTTGTAATTTGACCTACGCTATGCTCGAGTTTGGCGCGGCCGGACATGCGTAATGATTTTCGAAAGATGGTGCCTATGAGCTGCAGAAAAAAGTTAGAGGGAAGACTACCTGCATAGAGAAATGAATTTGACGAACACTGGTTCGTATGAGCAGACCTGTTGTCTGACCCACTGCGGTTTTGTCATTAATGAAGCTCTATCAGCGGAATACGCAGGAAAGCTCACCTTGGTAGTAATGATTGGTGAACTGCATTGTATGTCAGCTATGAAAACAAGTTGAAGATGCAGAGAGCATATCACACCAAACTTGCACTCTCTGACGAGCAACAATTAAACACTATACTGGTAAAAGCGAGCAACGAAACATACCTTGCATCACAAACAAGGCGAAAGCAAGCCCAATACCATAACCAATCCCTTGTGGTTGTTTCATGACCCCAGCAGCCTTTTCTTCCTCAGAAAGGCGGTAGTAAACATATGAATTCGTGAGCCAGGTAAGTAATATTTTTGATACTAGAGGGGTAGTCGTTTTCAGGGTATCTAGAATCTCCAATCGTCAGCACTCAGGATCGATGCCTGATATGATAGAATGGCGTACCAGCTGCCAACTGGAAGAACCCGGTCACCCAGATGCGGAACATGAAAGTTCTAAGCAGCGCGAGAAAGAGATTCGAGTCGTACTTTGGTGCCTTCGTTTTGGTTGTCGGTTTCGATGGTGATGGCTTTTCATCGTTGTCACTTTTTTCCTCGCCAGACTCTGACTGCGAAAAAGTATCTTGACGCATCGAACGCGGACGTTTCTCGGGCTCGCATCGTGAGTAGAATTGTGCTTCGAGAGCATCGGTTACGGCGGGAGTCAAGTGAACTTGGGGAAGTTCCCACAAGTCTGTATGTACGAAGTGTAATCAATAAACAATGACTATCTCCTTGTCACTTTCACGCACCGTCCCTTTCAATTGGCCGCGAAAAGCCTACGTCCAGGAATGGCATAAGCCATTGAAAGACAACCCTCGAAGGATAACTGTAAGAATAATCAGGATGTTGGTACCGGGTAAATACAGAATATAATACGTACGAAGCACTGGCTTCTGGGAGTACCTTGCCTTTGCCAAAGGCTGGAGGGGCTGGTGAAAGCCGAAAAGGATTTGGTAGCCGCATAGAGGGCCAAAGAGTAAAGGAGCGTGGTGTAAATGGTTGAATTGGTATATGCTGTAAAGGACGCGCATTGCTGGTCGCGTAATTCAATCGGCCGGAAAAATACGCGGCACCGCAGCTTGCGCAAGTTGTTGAAAGATCTAGAAGGGCTTGTTCCTGATTGGCTCAATCTATCGGTTGTCATCCCGCTCACGTAAACACATATGAAAAATAGGCGCCAGTAACTTGGCGCCGATGTTTGATTGTGGTCTGACATTTCCAAGATAGCGTTGTCAAAATAGTGATATGAGGATTGGGAAACCATCTGGTTTTGTCGCTGATAGACATGGAGAACATGCCATATTTATCTTTCCTAGAGGACGAATGGTGAGCTTCGGTTGCAGTACTGTAGGATATTCTGAGCTTTGAAAGGTCACATTCAGTAGGAGAAAACGGCAGGAAACCATGGTCAGAGAATTGAAAAGGTGATAACGAAAAACGTTCCTTGGGGCAAATTTCACTTCATCTATGATGGTACTTATGGTGAGCTTTGGTTCAAGACGTGTCGCGCATTCTATTTTCGAGGCACACAGTGCAGGTTCATACATGATAAAGATTTCATACCCTAGCTACAGTCCAACGGGATTCAATCTGTTTTGGGTCATATTTTGTTGAAAGGATACGTGGCTATATCCCATCATATACGGTCAAAGGACTAGGCTCAGAACATAATTAACTTACCGAGAGTTGGGCTTATATGTGGGTTGTTGAATATGCATACGACGCGCTCCAGCGCCGTAATGTACGGTCAATCTGTAGTCGGATCCAGACTACTCTTGAGAAACGATTCGAGGTTGCGAGGCCATACTCCAGGAAAGGTGCCGGCAGAATTGAATTGAATCCACATCGATTAAGGAAATATTTAGCGTATTATGAGGAAGTTTTCATATGTGACGTCGGAATGGCAGAATTGAAGAGGTAGGTCAGTAATCATGATGTCTGTAAGAGTCGGAGGGGATCACAAGATGCAGAATGCGTCAATGCCTACTAAAAATAAGCATATTAGATTGGAATGGTATGGTTCACAGCCAACCTTGTTGAGGTAGCGTTCCAACACTACAACACTGGTAAAATTCAGCGGTGCATGACAATCTTGCCAGAAGGGGTGGCAGATAGTACCTCCACCTACAGAACCAACACCAGCATTTGGAGGGACCGGACAAGAACAAAGCCAAGAGATAGTTTCAGTAACTTTTGCGACGGCGGTGTTGACACGATCATATTTATCTTTGACTGATTCCCCGGCGTCTATCCATTTTCCAAGAGGCAGGCGAAGGAATGTACTCCATCACCAGATAAGTCATGGCCCACGGGTCCTCAATTCCTCCAGAACTCTAAAATATTCAATGAGCTTAGGTATGTAGATAGATAATCGAGGGATTCAGATTCGCCTTCGAGGCGCGATCGATTGTATTTGACGAAATACGGAGGGTGTTTTTCGTCACTAAGCAAGACGTTAAAATGACGCTGCAATGTGTGATGGTGTGAACGCGACACAGAAATTATATTCTGCTTCAGCTATTCGGCAACATTACTGAACCTATGTGAAAGGAAAGTGTTTTCAGCATTCATCGACGGTGCTAGCCAATGGAGGAGTCACCGAGCAATTTTCCTGTAGACTCTAGAGAGAGAACCCATTCAGACTCCGACACAGGACAATGAGCACTCTCTTCCAATTTACCGGCAATTCGCGGGGGGTTTCTTACCAGCGTTCATGGTTGGTGACGTTCACGACAGCGAGAGGAAAAATAAACTCAATCTATTCAGCTGTATTGGAGATTGTGGGAATCGAACCCACGGCCTCATGCAATCTCAATGTATGCGAAGCAAGCGCTCTACCCCTGAGCTAAATCCCCAACATTGGGAGTTGGCCAAGTTCAAGTCAATAGAGATATTCGTAAAAGTAAGAATTATCTGAAGTTTGGTGCCGGTGAATATCCATTACAAGGGCACTTGAGTAGTAAATCTGTGCATAGCTACGACCATATTTCTCTTAGATATCCTTTAATACTTCAGGGATTTAAGAATGTCTAACCTAAAGTGAGGCGACGGCAGGCAAACATGGAGGACAGTGAGTAACGGGAGATACATAACATTTCTACTTCAGCGTGCTTGCAGGCTCCAGGTATATACCTCCTCTATCCTACGTGTCTAGAATAGATGCCTTGAAGCGCCACAGGACCACCAGGAAACAAAGGATAAATCGTCCCGCCCAGCATTCGAACGAAAGCGGGAGTTGTATAAGCAGAAACCCTATCCGCTTCCACCATAAACATAAGGTAGCTTGGCAGACATGACAAGCGTCCTGACGATATACTTGGCAGCCAAGACACCGACGGTGCGCCGCATCGGAGACGGCATGTCTCTCCGTCGTGCGGGAATTTCGATTAAGAGAGCGAAATGTGGCGCCATGGTATCACAGGGTATCACCTAGCAAAAGGAACCTGGAACTGGCGCGGAACTTGGAAGGCTCACGGAATGCGTCGCCGCCTCGAACGGTTGGATCCTCAGGTCACTGGCGATCCTATGCGGATCTGAGAGACAGCGGGGAATGAGTGGCATCGAGGAGTATTGTAACACCGATTGTTCATCTCATGTCCGCCCCATATTAACCAGCGCTATTGTGGTGGGTGGTGTACGGCAGCAGAACCCAGCTGAGAACCACAATGTGATAACTATATGCATCAGGGTGATGAAATCCAGATATGAGTCAAGAGAGTAAGTAGAATTCGAAATCCTGCGTCTCATACGCCTTGAGAGAGCATTCAGCCAGAGCCTAGTGTCGCTTGAAGGACTAAAGACCTCAAACTTCAGTGTTCCTACAGTACCGTCAGAATTCACACAGACACTGGAAAAATGGTTCATAATCGCGAAGTTCTTCCGATCCTTGCAACCAACTGTTGATCTTGTTGCCACTATAAACGTGTCATACACACGCATCGTGACAGTTAGATTGCGGTGAACTTGCCTCGACTTTTTGCCATCCAATTCGAGCGATTCATGAGCAAGTCTTTGCCCCCATTTTCCAAATCTTTTGAACTGCCCAGATATCGACGTTATCGAAGCGAGCACGCCCCAGGGTAGTCGCGCCAATCGAGTTCAATCGACCCTTTCGAGGCTAGTGATGCATTGATGCCTAACGATCAGGGGACTCAGGGTAACCTCAGGGAAAGTAAGTTAAAAGTTTTTTACGAGAATTTATGACATAGAACATAGATATAGGTGCCACATTTCTTACGCGATTATTTTTCCTGTTACGAGTCAGTCGGCCACAGGGGCCTTGGTGAGAGACAGCAAGTCTTAAATAAGTGTATACTTAAAGTTTTCACTAAGACTTGCTCAGCAAACGTACATGGACTAGAATCTACTAGAAATTGCGTCAGCATTGCGTCGGGGTATCATGAATCAATGTCGAACAGATACGTGAAGACGAATTGTGGCTCCGCACAGCTTTCGTGGGAGACAGGACCTCGAAATAGCTATCCTGCGGTAGGTCCGGACGTGCACTTTACGCGGGCCCCTTCATGCCCATGCCAGTTCCATGCCCTTTGCCCAAGGCCAAGCGTCGGCTCCGGGTTTCCCGTCGGACGGTCGGAATGCCAGTCCAAAACTTCTGCGACTTCAATTCCGTATCTGCCTTGCAGACGTCGCCGCATGTTGGTACTGTGGCCCTGCGACCGGATGCCACGGCATCGTCTCTCGTGTGTAGGATAACTCCTACTAGTGTTATCACTTCGGGAGAATACAATTCCTGAACGTGTTAGTGTTTGTACACATACATACTTATCAGGACATCGAGAGATTGATAGAACCTGTGGCTTGAAGGTGTCACTTGGCGCGCTGTACTTTGATTAAGCGTATAACGGGACATGCATGTACCCTATTATGCAAATCATGTAATCAGTCGACTTCTGCGAGAACAACAGCTATGTAACTAGCCTTCGTTGAGATAAGAAGGGAAGTGAGTCGCGCGTTGTCGTTGGCGACTCAATGCTGCCATTGGGAAGAAACGCGTCTGAGGCACTGTGGCGCCGAATCCGCCTAGAGACTTTGATCACGAGAGATAAGACTTGAATCAGCCTCGTGGATGCAGCGTGGCCATTCTCGCTCAAGATAGCATTGTAGACGCGCCCTCTGCCCAGGACATGAGTGCCCGCCCTCAGTGAGGTCATCTGCTGCGAGCCTGGCTTCTATGTCCCGAGTCGCAAGACCTCGTTGAATGGAGCGTCCAAGAATTCATTATCTTGCCAGGAGTTTCGATGGTGTTCCCATAGAAAATCATGACAGAGTTTTGCGCAATCTAAGCGATGTTCGACAGATGCTCTCATCGCAATGACTGCTATGTCGTGCGCTTGTTGTGCAGGGCAGAAATGAGATCAGGGTTCACCAGATCGGGGCAGGCATCGAAGTCGAAACGTGGTCTTCATCGATTTTCAGTGAAGCACGAGATTGACAAAGATGATCTAAGTAAAGCAACTATTTCAAATTGAAAAGTCACTCTTACCAGCTCGATGTCATATACAATGATTATCGATGAGTGGTGATAAATGTGCAGTCGAGGTGAGGTGCATTTCGTCACAAGAAAAGAAGCAGAAGGGGGTATTTCGATGAGAATTGTGTCATAACGTGCCTTGACGGCTCTTACAGAGGAAGAGCCGAATGTATTCGGGACGAATCAGCCTGTCCTCGCGCATCCAGTGTGGAATCTAGTTGAACCCGTGCCAAAAGAAAAACAAAAGAGCCACTTCCAAATTTTACACGGAGAAAGACATATCGGGATGTTTGTCAGGGTCAATTAATCCGTTCCGCGGCTTATGTCCTGAGCCTTGATAGTCATTCCTGTGGCTCAACTGCGAGTCATTTCGATAACCCTCGGTGAGCTGCTGGGCATACGCGGTGATGGGAGGAAAATTCACAAGCTTTACCACCGAGCCCCCACTGTTTCGCCGAAAATTGGTATAAATTTGGGTTCCTATGAGAGCGCATCACAAAGACGTTCGGGCTGTTCCTGAGAGAATACTGTATTGGGACATCTCAAACGATCAGAAATGATTCGAGCTCATCGAAACACGAGGGTTGTTTGGCGGCCCCCTAACCCTAATTCAAGAATAAGGTCGGTGAAGGACTCGGACATGGTCATACAAAATGCTATGGGGTGCACGGTGAAAAATTGCATCGTGCATAGAAGGTCCGAGATGAATCTGGGTGGACCGTGTCCCGAAAGCTGGGAGAAAGGGATTAAAACCGCATGTATGAATGAAGTTGTTTTGTTTGTAATCCGCTATACAGGTATTACCATATATGGGTTTAAAGCCATTGTGCTATATATCCATGATCGTTTCAAGCGAATTTTTTCCCCTTCGCCCTGTTCACTTTCTCTTCTCTTCCACCACCCTAGAGGTGCTTTCAACTGGCTGGTCTAATGCTAACTCTTACTCCCGGATCTGCTTGCGACGTGTGCGCTGAGGAGTATGGCCAGACGTGCCATCCTCACTCGATTCCCTGTGGTCCGTACAAATTTCGCTTCAGGACCTTGTGAAAATTTCTTATTCTGCTTTTTTTCCCTTGAAAAAACAGGACACGTTCTATGCTCGAGTTGCTGCAGTACCATAGTTGAAAAGACGCCCTCTCGCCTCGCTCCTGTCTGTCCCTTCTGCCGGGAAACTTTCACCCATGACACCATTCGAATCATAAGAATGGACTTTAATTCGTCTAGTGGGTGGAATACACCGCGGCGAGTGCCCACGAACAATATCGAAGCAAGTCAAGCGGACTTCACTTCCCTGTGGGCGCGCAAGGCGGATCGATTTTCCAGGTCACGGAACCCAGAAGCTCAGAGGCTTGAGGACAAAGTGGCGAAGGTCGCCGCTAAAAAATGTTCAGTGGAGGAGGTGTCTCTCCTCCACAGAGAACTCGAGGAATGGCTGAAGACGTCTGAGGAAGGCTCTGACCAGGTAGATCTCGCTTATCTTTATTGTTTACAATGCGCCGCTCACATGTGCCTTAGACTGCGCTTCTCCTCAGCGCCGCGCTTTTGCGTGCCATCCTTATGAATCACCTTACGAATATCGAAGTCAATCGAAATTTGAAGGACAACCAAAACAACCTGAAGTCGAAGGTTGAGGAACTACAGATAAACAATGAAAAAATGGATTCAGAGTTACGAAAGTGCGTCCATTCTACCATCGTAAACTTTCATTTTTTGACCGTTGATATTCTTTGACTCATCAGATTAGTGAGTCATTGTTGTCATCTTGATGTCATTTTTTTATTAAATTATCATTGACAGCGCCAACAATATGCAACTAAGGCGCAAGACTACCAGACGGTCTGGACGGAGCTCAATCGACTAAAAGGCACCCTTGGCATTCCTGTGGACGCTCGTCAATCAGCTACATCGCCAACGCCACCGCCCACATCTCCCACTCCTCACACTTCACCGTCGTCTCAGTCGCCACTTTCTTCACGATTTACCTCCATGCATCAGAGGTCAGCCTCGATGTCTTCACGACCTACCACGCCCGCTACGCCTACACCATCACGAACCTATACTCCTGCACCTCCTCTTCCCAGGATGCAAACACCTGCTCCCCCTCTCTCCAGGGCACAAACCCCCCTGGCTCGAGCATATACTCCTGCCCCAGCTACCTTGCGCTCAATGACTCAGACACCCAGCCTAATGCGGCACACTACACCAGCGCCACCCCCCGTTCCCACAAAACCCCGCAGACTGTCGACACCGTCTCCCCCAAAAATGATGCGTTCTACGTCAGAGGAGAAGGGAGAATACCCTCAAATCTGGATGCCTCCTTCAGCCTCCGAGGCTCCCTTCCCGGCGCGTGCACCCTCCCGAAGT